AAACATGTTAAATTATAATCTATTTATTCTAATGTATAAGATAATTAATTCTAACATGTAACATAATAATTTGTAACTCATGACATGATATTATCGAACGCCCAATTTATAGCATAATGAAGTCTAACATGTAACACAATAATTTGTAACTCCTAACACGATTATATCTAACGTCCAATTTATAACATAATCAACTCTAACATGTAACATAATAATTTGTAATTCCTAACACGATAGTATCTAACGTCCAATTTATAACATAACCAAGACTAACATTTAACATAATAATTTCTAACTCCTAATACGATAATATCTAACGTCCAATTTATAGCATAATCAAGTCTAACATCTAACATAATAATTTAACTCCTAATACGATAATATCTAACGTCCAATTTATAGCATAATCAAGTCTAAAATGTAACATAATAATTCTAACTCATAACACGATAATATCTAACGTCCAATTAATAATATAATCAAGTCTAGATTGTAACATAATCAATTCTAACTCCTAACACGATAATATCTAACGCCCAATTTATAACATAATTATTTCAAATATATAACATAATAATTTTTTAAAAAAAAAAATAGGGTCCGGCCGGTCGAACCAGACGGTCTGGCCTCGACCGGCCGTCGCGACCGGTCGTATTTTAAAGAGTCTGGCCGGCCGATTCGGACATAGCCCGTCCGACTGGACGAACTTTTCGGACGGCTTTTGGACCGTCCGGTTCCGGCGATCGGACAGGCTTAAAGCCGTCCGATTTCGCCGGCCGGACAAAAAAATTTTCGTACCTTCGAATTTGAAGACATTTCACCGTACACTTTGCTCTGAGATGTTTGGAAAAATGAAAGGGCAAAATCGTCTAAGGGGGGCAGTGACTAGTAAAAGGGGGGCGGCAAATAGTACTACCCTATAAGTATTGTTGAAAGTTTTTTTTAACTATTTTTTGCCTTTCCTCATAAAAAATTCTGGATCCGCCATTAAGTTCAATAGAGAGTCGGCCAGTACTCCGAACGGATTTGAGCTATGAAATCTTTGGGGTCCAACCGCTTATGAATCGTCTGAAGAGGTTGAAAACTGGTAAAGTAAAAAAACTAGTAGCGATGCGTGCAATCCAATAGTTTCAGTTTTGAACTTTGTAAGATTATGGCTATGGAAGCTATTTAAATAGGATATTATTTTTCCTTATGTTTTAAATGTGTGATATATAGTTAATGGCTTACCATGCGCTCCTCTTTTCTTTCTTTCTTAGTGTGGACTTGAGCCTATAAGATTAGTTATTTAGTGTGTAATAATATTTTATATTATTCTATTATTGTGGGCTATATATTAGTTGAATCTAATTGAATTAATAGTCAAACTTAATTAAGAAAAATATGTTTTTAATGGATTATTGATATTTTAATATAGGATAGTCAAATAAGCTATCTTATAGCTTAAGCTCTCTGTATTCAAATATGTTTCGTTTGGTAGGACGAGCTTTTTTAAAAAGCTCAACCTTATTTCATAAACGCGGGTCAATCTTCATCAATTTGATCGAGAATATGAAATAGTCTAAATAAAAATGTGAGAGATAAAAAAGAGGTAGTTTTTCAAATAAGCTAGTTGAATTTTTTATTTTAACTAGTCTATCAGCTAATTTTACCAAACATTTTTATTATATAAATTAGTTTTTCAACTATAAATCATGAGTAGTAGTAGGAGAGTAGTGTGGTTGAAGGGAGTTTCTGCCTGGGGGCAGCCCGTCTTCTTGCTTCTGATGTTTTCTAGATCATACCTTGTGTATGATTTCCTCTGTTTGTCTCCGAAGTTTGTAAGTTTCCCCCATTTGTATTTTGTCATTTGATTTTTTATTGGAGTATTTCTATCGCTTGAAAAAAAAAAATAGCAGCTATGAGCCTATGATTTGGGGAATAAAGAAAAATACTCTTACCAAGTGAAAATTGCGACCCGTAACGTAACATAATTTTCTTTGCCTAAACGTAAAATTGCGACCGGAACAAAAGGACAGTTGTCACCATCTCACCGATCACCCTTTTTTCTTATTATTTATAGCGGAAAAAATAATGGGGCAGGTGGCCTGCGTGACTGCGTCACATGTGGATAGGACCTAATAATTGATGTGTACAATTTCATTTTAATGCAAGGACACAAGTCCAGTTGTATGGAGAGTATGGGCGTCGCAATTTATTTTCTGAAAGCACGGCCCATGACCATCGGTTGAAAAATTCTGAACGCAAGTTTTCAATAAAGTGCAATGCATCAACAAATATTAGCCACTAATCATTATTTAATGTTATTTTAACATAATATTTTATCTTACTAGTTCATATAAGCCACTAATTATTATTTAATGTTATTTTAACATAAATATTTTATCTTACTAGTTCATATAAATAAAGTATAAAAATTGTTGATTTTATAGTTAATTTAACCGTTTTATTGCATTTAAATTCCAATTATCATTTCATTTTCATTGTCAGTTCGTACATATTTTTTTCTCTGCATTCTCTACTCACCCAAGTTCATTCCACTTAACTCTTGGCATGATTGGTAGGAAGGAATGACATGAGAATAAAACGATAATTCACTTACTCATTCCTTATCTCATGATTAATATATTTTTTGGGAAGGAATGACCATTCCAATGGGAATGACAAAACTGTGAGATTAGCCATTCCATAATGAATTGAAGGTTTTCTCATTCTCATGTGTGTAGGAATCAATTTTTCGAAAAATAAAATTAATAAATAATAATAAAAAATAAATATATATTATATATTATAAATCATGATTAAAATATATTAAATAAAATTATTTTAAAAAAAATAAAAAATTGAAAACTTACTTTTATTTATTTTTTAATTAGTATATTAAATACTTATATAAAAATAAAACTAAAAAAAGCATTTATATATAATTTAAAAATATATTATTTTATTTTTATATATTATTAAAAATATATTATTTTTTATATATTAAAAATAAATTATTTTTTATATATTAAAAATATATTACTTTTAAAAATATATTATTAAAAATATATTATTGAAAAATATTAAAAACATATATTATTAATATTATATTACTTTTTATTTTTAAATATTATTAAAAATATATTATTTTAAAAAATAAAATTAAAATAAAAAATTGAAAACTTACTTTTTTACTGTTTAATTAAAAAATAAAGTATATATTATTAAAAATATATTACTTTTTATTTTTAAATATTATTAAAAATATATTACTTTTAAGAATATATTACTTTCTATATATAATTTAAAAATATATTATTTTATTTATATATATTATAAAAAATATATTAATTTTTATATTATTGAACAATATATTATTTTTTTATATATTATTATTAAAAAAGCATTTATATATAATTTATTAAAAGTATATTATTTTTAAAAAAAGCTTTTATTTGTTTTTTATAATAAAAAATAATAATGCATCCCATTTCAGTCTTATTTCTTCTGCATACCAAACGCATCAATGACAAAACATGTTTCATTCCTTTCCCATAATCATTCCATTCTTCAACTCATTCCATTCCTACGAAATTTCATTCCATCATACCAATCATGCCATTAGAAGGAGACGCGATTGTGTTTGCTTTTCTGAACAAACATGATCATTTGACATCTTTATTTTATTTGCAATTAAGCCTATTTTTTATCCTCATGTCAGCGCCATATCAGCAGCCATGTCTCCACGTCGGCAATAAAATCCCGAAATAAGGTCATGGTTTTATATATTTTCCAAGTTCAAAAGTGATGCATATAATTGCAATTTTTAAAAAGGTCATGATTTTATTTGCAATTAAGCCTATTTTTTATCCCCATGTCAGCGCCATATCAGCAGCCATGTCTCCACGTCGGCAATAAAATCCCGAAATTGAGCCTGATGCACACAATTGCAAAAAATTGTAAAAGTAGCGTATACGTTTGCCAAGTTTAAAAGTGATGCATATAATTGCAATTTTCGAAAAGGTCATAATTTTATTTGCAATTAAGTCAAATAAGAATTAGTGACTCTTGCAACCAAATGGATGCTGGATTCCACATAGATTTAATGAACCACTTTTCCAAAAGCAGATTGCATTCTGCAACAAATTCTTTTCTTAAAAGCAAAAAATAAAAATCTAAGTGAAAAATAATTATCTTTAACCAAAATAACTAGAAATTACCAGGAAACTACAAGCAAGTACAAATAAGTAAAAGAGAAAAAAAAAAAATCATGATAATAAAATTTTTAACTAGGCTAGCTTTAATCTCCAGAGTCCAGACTGTACTTCACCTTTTTTTTGCAGTTCCATTTCATAATTGAAAGCTACATTGTTACAGTAAATATGCTGCAAAATTTCATTATTTATGTATATGATAGATTTATGATTTATTTTTGTTATTAATTTCAAAATTGCCTTTATTTATATCTAGTTTAATTTTAAATGTCCTACATTTTGTAAAAAAAATTAAAAAGTGTAATAAACATATAATAGGAAAAGTATATATAGTTGAGGAAAATGGAAAGCAATAAAAGTTCTTGGTCTGAAATACCATTTTTCAATCCCTATCATGCAGGTGTTTCAGCCTAAACAAGCAGCAAAATAAATATTTAAACAGTGATCACCTCCTAGCACTTGTAAGAGGATAAAATATTAAGAAAAAAAATACTCATAACAGATGGAGTTAAACCAGAAACAGGTTTCAGAATTATTATCAATATTTGGATCACCCACAGTTGACTAACTGGGAGGATAGGCTCAGACTTATGTCAACACAACAAGGAAATATACAATCCCTCACACAGAAAAACACGCATAAACCAAGACATGTAGTTACCCGACAATCCAATTTCGGATTTTCCCAAAATGCTACAACCTTCAAATAAAAGTAAAAACCAAGATATGTGGTTTTGTTGAAAAGAGCATTCTTCTGATGAAAATAAATAGAAAAACGGCTAGTCCATGGTGGTGATGATGACCTCAGGGAAAAATGGAGGAGCTATCCTTCATCTCGACATCAAAAGTTGCTCCATTTGACGATGATTCTCCAGGAGCTGCTTAGGGAATGTAAATAGTATAAATAGGTTGCATAGTATGGTTCGTTCTAAAACAAGTAACAGAACATCATTGACAATTGTATTCAAGATATATATGGTGACTTCCTTCCTTACTATTCATAATGTATTCAGTTATTTCAAGATCAGTTATTAGAGTTTTGACTAGATTCTTTTATTGTCAACTAAATCCCCAAATGACTACCAATCTTGATCTACTAGCCACAAAATGGAAATTAAAAATCTTTACAAGAGATTAACATTAACCCTGGCTTTACCATGTGGACTGGACAGTAAAAAGCAAACTGTACCAATATATATATATATATATATATATATATATATATATATATTTGCTACAATTAATTGATGTAACTGTATAGTTACTGATTTTCGCCCAGTCATAGGAAACATGTAAAGATGCTTACAGATTGTTCCAACTTGAGGCAACTGCACAACCGATGGGGGATCTGATGCCACAGAACTCGAATGTTTTACATATGTGACCTTGTGCCCTATATCGTCTTCGCTATCAATATCCTGAAGAAAATCATGAGTAAGCATACAGTGAAAAAGCATGAGTAAGCAGAATTTAAAAAGCAACTTATTCTTTTATGCCTAACTCACAATATTTAACCTGCAAGAATATTATACACAGGATGTCCACATTTGCAAGAAATAAACTGAGGAAACTTTGTTTAGTCATGGTTCCATATCTAACTTCCAGTGTCGGAAAATGTTACCCAAGAAGACACCGGTTTCGATGTGAAAACCAACATTATGTTTGGATAAGTTAATGAAAAGGAGACTTCTATGTAAATGATAATTTGAAAGTTGTTAGTGGTATTCCAGTTTTGATATTTTAGTCTGAATAGAATTATAAGATATTAATAAGATGGTTTTGACATTATATAAATATAATAATAGAAATAGCAATGTGTTAAGGCAGTAGTAGTGGTAGTTGAGGGCTCATACATAGAAAGCCTGTGAGATTGATGGAGCAATGATTGAAAAACTGAAAATGGTGATTTTGCAAAAGGAAAAAAACATATAAACAAAATGATTCGATTTATATTAATAATCTGAAGAGGAAATCGTTAGCTGAAAACACATAAAACAACCTTCTAATATGTCCAACATATGCTGAAATTGAGAATATAGCAGAACTCGGTGGACCTGCTCTTTAAGTTTAACCATCATCTTGTCCAAAAGTTGAAACTTTCCCGAAGCTTCTCTGAATTGCCTGCGATGCATAACATTGTGAGCAGAACAAAGTCTAAACAGAAAAACTACATAATCAAACATCAAATAACAAGAAGGTTCAGTATTCAACAAGAACAAGAGAAAGGTACTCAGCATACAAAAAATAAATAAAGGATATTCACTATTCTATAAAACAATTCCATGACAGATACCAGTTCTGTTTCATTTATTAACCATCAAGCTAACTATAAAAAATCAAAGGAAAATGCATATACTACTTGTTAAACTCATGAGGATCTTCTGGCTCAACTCCTTCCAACATAAAAGGATGACAGCAGAGCTTTTGTTTCACAGAAGATACCTTGTCACATTTAGACTGCATTTTGTTCAACTTTTCAATTTCTTTGTGGAACGATGCAATGCTCGATTCCATCGTACGGAAGCTCCTTCCATTTTACATAATATTTTCTTCCTTCATCAACTTCCCTGATATTCAGGACAAATTATTTGGAGTTGGTTACCGTGTAAACTCAATATCTATTCAAAACAACTAAACCAAACACGATTGAATAAATAAAAAATGTTTTATAAGTTGTTACCTCCGAATTTGTTGGAAGATTACATTAATTAATAAATAAATAGAAGAGAAAAAAAAAAAAAAAAAAANAAAAAAAAAAAAAAAAAGAGAGAGAGAGAGAGAGAGAGAATCACGCAGGCAGCAGAACTCTACCCTGACGAAATAGAGTTACCTGAGTTGGACATGAACACCAGCAAAGCTAGATGATCTCAAGGCAGAAGTTCAGGATTCCTTGGAAGAAATAAACTTAGGCACAGAATTTGACAGGAAGGTGACTTTCTCTCCCGTTGGTCGAGCCTCTTTAACCCTAGTTCTCCGTTCTTTTCCACTCTCTTCTCCTCAATTCTTTTTCATTTTCGGTCTCCCCTCTTTCTCCTGTATTGCTGTTAATTATTATTATTGTTGTTGTTTTTTAGTGAGTTGCATATAATTATAATTTATATAAATAGATATGGAGGATGAAGAAGCCATGATTCGTGTTCTACTTGTCGACGGCAGTTCCACTTGGCTCTTCATCTTGGAGACCCTTCTTCGCCAGTGTCGATATCATGGTTTTAATTTCCTTTCTCTTTTTCATACTTATTCATATTTTAATAAACTATTTTTAACACAATTTTTTTTTGTGATATAATACAATGTAGATTTTTATTGAGTTACATTGTGGACCCTTTATTAGATGTTAGTTATATCAAGTAAAATTGTCTTTCAGATTTCACTATAATTGAATGTTAAAAAATTACACTTTTTTTTTTATATATATGTGCAATTTTTGGCAGTGAGTACAACAGATGGAGCAATCACAGCACTTCAAATTTTACGCGAAAACAACAGTCGAATTGACTTAGTAATAAGTGAAGTCGACTTGCCTGACATGGATGGATTTGTTCTGCTCAAGGAAGTGAGCCTCCGAATGGACATCCCGGTCGTATGTAAGGCTTTTAATTAAGCTTTTTTCTTGTTTGTCATGAATTAGAGCTAAAATGTGGCTTATTGTTAATTAAACCAAACATCTTGATGAGATTATTGTTTGGTGTTGGTGTTTGTGTTTGTGTTCGTGTAGTGGTGTCGTGGGATGATAGTAAAGAACGAGTATTAAAAGGGATAATGAATGGCGCGTGTGATTATCTGGTAAAACCTGTGAGAGTCGAGGAGCTGAAGACTATATGGCAGCATGTGGTGAGGAAAAAGTTGAGGAAGAAGAAGAATGTTGATAATAATAATAATAATAATAATAAGATTGTTAATGTTGTGGTTGAATCTCATGTGGAGATGAAAGAAGCTTCCAACAATAACAGTATTTGTGTTAATGAAAACCCAAATAATGATAAAAGGCACACTCGTGGTGAGGTGTCATCGAAGCAAAAGAAGCCACGTGTCGTCTGGTCGCAAGAGCTTCATCGCAAATTTGTTGCTGCCGTAGATCAACTGGGAGTCGACAGTAAATTTACTATATTTATTTATTTATTTATTTATTATCTGAGTATATAAAATTTTGACGTGTCGATATATATATATATATATATATATATATTTATGTGGTAGAAGCTGTGCCGAAACGGATCATGGAGCTTATGAATGTAGAAGGTATTTCGAGGGAACATGTTGCGAGCCATCTCCAGGCAAAATCTCTTATCTCAGTTCGTAATATACAATTTCTATTTATATTTCTTGTTTATTTTTCCCTATTGTATATATATTTGGGTGGTGTTTTGTGAATGGCAGAAATACAGAATGCACCTGAAAAGGTCAAAAGGCGAGGCCGCGGGCCCACGACAAGCAAACAAGGCACCATTATTGTCAGGCGTGCCATCATTTAACACTGCTTATAATAATAATTATGATAATCAACACATGATTAAGGATGGAAAACGACAATGTGTTGTACCTTGTCCAACTTCAATGGGCAATCATCATCAAGAGAATGATAATCGACGAGTATGGGTTCAAGGAATGCCAATGCCAATAACAGCGTACGATCCATTTGCTAGTTACACTGATTGGAGGTATAGTAAATAATAATAATAATAATAATAATAATAATAATAATAATAATAATAATAACAAGTGTTCTGTAGTAGTTCTTTTTTCTTTGTAGCTAACAACTATTATTTTTCGTCGAGCAGCATTTCATTTTGCGATGATCGGCTTCTTTATGAATTTCCTTCTCTCGGCTCGATTGATAATTCGAGTCAACATGATTTGGTGCTGCCAATGCCAGCTACTCGTAATCCGAATAGCCACAACACGAGTTACAGCTTGATAACGACGTGTCAGAATATCATTCGTCGGGAGTTTCTTAAAGACCCTTTGACTGTTGGTTCCATTTCGATGCATGTGCTTCAAAATAACAGCTTTGGACATGGACAAGGACAAGCTTCCCACCAGCCACTCTGACAACAATGTCCAGCTGCCCGAAGTATGAATGAATTAGGTATTTATTTTATCTTCATGTTATGTGCTTAGTTTTTTTTTTTTTTTTTTTTT